TTCATGCATTTAAAATCTATTATTATAATTTAAATATATTATTTTTTTTATTTTTATTAAGAATAGAATATTAAAATTTATATTAAGTGATTGGATAATGAGTCTCCTATATATTTATTTAAACAAATTGATAAGAATATGAGTGCGTGTTTAAATAGATTTTAATGGAAAGATCGCGTAGAGATGTGATGAAATGTTAATGCTTTATTGAATGAACGTATGAGTTGTGGATATCCTAATCAATAGTCTAATAATAGTGCACTATCCACATTTGTTTTTTTTTTTTTTCTTTTTATTTCATCCTTCCAATAATAATTCTAAACCCACTTCAATGAGACCATTTTTTACCGCAAATACTTAGGTGTGCTAGGGCCTTTTGTGAAATACATTATTCTCAAAAGCGCGTGAGGTAAATAGGTAATGATTTTTTCTAAATGGGACATATGTCCCATTTCTATTTGACAATTAAATTCATATATCATATTATATAAATTAAATTATCATTCATATTTTGTATCAAAAAATAAAAATACCAAAATTCATAATTTTTTATTTTCTACAAATAGAGACCACATTTGATATTTTGTTAAACATAATTAATTTATCATTTTTTACAATTAATTTATCTTATTGGAAGATTATGACATAAATGTATAATTAGATGAATATATTACATAGTAAGATGAACATGTTATAGAGTAAGATGCACATGTCATAGAATAAGATGAAAATGTTACAATTTCATAGATGAAATTTAGATGAACATGTTCTAAAATAAGATGAACGTGTTACATAATAAAATAACATGTTATAGAATAAGATGAACATGTTACATAATAAAATGAACATGTTATAAAATAAGATGAACATGTTACATGCACAATAAGGTGAACATGTTACATAATAAAATGAACATTTATAGAATAAGATGAACATGTTACATAATAAAATGAACACGTTATAGAATAAGATGAACATGTTACATACACAATAAGGTGAACATGTTACATGATAAAATGAACATGTTATAGAATAAGATGAACATGTTACATACACAATAAAATGAACATGTTATAAAATAAGATGAATATGTATTATTTCAATCTGCAATCTGTAACATGTTCATCATATTTGAAAACATATTCATTTTATTATGTAACATGTTCATTATATGTCAGTATAATAAAATAATTATGAAAAATTATGAAAAAACGAAAAATTAGTTGTATTCAAAAACCTATCAAATATGGTATCTATTTATAGATAATGAAAAATTATGAATTTTGGTATTTTTATTTTATTTTTTTAATATAAATAATTAATGATATTTTAATTTATGTAATATGTCTCATTTTTCAATTA